TTTTCAAGCTGCCAACCAGAGATATCTGTAAAAATTAGCAGTTCTAAACTGAATAACATTTATTTCACAAAACGAAGCGCTTGCTGATTTTCATATGAACAGTTTCAACTGCTCTCTGACTTTCGCAGGCAATTCCCTCAACACGTAGGCAATTTCCCGCATCTGTTCAATTATTGTCAAAGAATTGTTCTCTGTTATATCAGCAATGTCTTGTAGGCTTCTCGGGCCTCGTCACTTAGCTCTGAATTTGCTATCTTCAGATAAAATGCTTCCGTACTTATTTCCATATTTTCAATGTCTTGTCGATATTCAGCCTGTAATTTTGAGAAACTGATTTTATGTTTTACTTTGTTCCAGAATTTTCTCATTCAACTGAAGTAGTGGGCAACACTCAGAAGAGGGGCCATCGATAGCTTTGTCAGTGGTCAGTTGCTGCCGACATGTGCTACCACACGACTGAGTTCCGAATGCCCTCGCTTCAAAGACCGTGAATTACGGAGGAGTTTCGACTTCGCTTTTGACGAATAAAGCAGACAAAACTGGAATAGAAATAATTTTAAATCAACGAGAAGGCAACAAAGGCGTTGTTTGATCGGCACTCTCATGCGCTTTAGCAGTAAGCTATTGTCAAAGTTGAAATTCGGGCAAAAAAAGTGACCTGAACATATTTGGGCTGCTGATCAATCCAGTCCGAAATTTTCTCCTTCAGCTGCGCTATTGTTAAAGTTTTATTCGAGACTAGTTGCTTTAATTCATTCCGAGCAATTGCAGAGGTATTTTTTAAAAAATCTGGTTCTTGTCCAAACACTGATACATTTAGTGCAATTCGAATTTCGGGCTCGTTGAATTTCATTACTTCGGGTGATACGGCAGCTCGATCTTGACCATATGCAAGCAGCAGCGCATGTAAGGACCAATGAATGAGGCAGAACACACATCCTCCTTGAGAACAAGATATCATTGTTCCGGAAATCAGACGGGGGAATGGAATGGGGATGTTGTCACCAGCAAAAACGATAAATTCCAGCATGCGCTACTCATACTGCAGCATCCATGGAGAGAAAAAATGTCTGTCCTTTTTTGTCAGTTTTGTTGAAAATCTTTGCCCAAATACGCCACATTTACCTGTTTCCAGCATTACCAACGGAACACGGGGTAACAAATGCCATTTTAATGATGAGCTGCACCCTATGATCATAACAAACTACCGTGTTATGAATACCACGGAGGAATGATTTTTAAAAAACTCATGAAAGTATTTAGTCATAAACCCCACTGCAAGCCTGGTGCATGCCAGTCTGACTTCCATTTTTATGCGTTTTTGCATATAAACAAACGCAAAAGATACCTACGTGTGTGTGTCTATGTGTTCGCACTTTTTGTCACCCACTTTCAACCCGAGAATCAGAAAAGCTAGAGAGCTTGAACTTCGGGAGTATGTGCTCGCCAACTGTGTGCCCTCTTCGTTTTAGTATCATCACCCAGCTGGGCATCGTGTACGAATGCCTTAAAAAATGCGCACTTTTTGGCGAGAAAGCAATCTCGAAAACCAGAAAAGATAGATTGCTGAAACTTTGCAGGGATACTGTCTGCACATGTATGAACTACGAATTTCAAATCCAGCTCCTACGTATGCGTGACTTCCATTTACGGCATGTGAAAATCGGCGAAAAAATTAGTAACTCGAAAGCCAGATAAGCCGGAAAGCTGAAATTTTAGGGAATGTTCGCTGTTCAGATAGAAGTCAAATATTTTAAATTCTGCCTCCATTCCTAATCCCCCCCTACAATGCAAGTACCTTAGTGCCCGATGCCATGTATCCTTCCCCTCAAGTGCCCTTCGAAGTAGCGCAGTTAATCAGTGTAGCATATAAATTTTCGGAATTCTACTAGTTCGTAGACGATAAAAAAATTCGAGGGTTAAGTCCTGGGGGTCACAGGCTTCATCTTTTGCGATGACAATACTGCCAGCAGCAAAGCGGGTCACGAAGCTCCCGCGTGGTTCGTCTCATTTTCCAGACCCGCGGGAGTTTCGCGGACGCTCCCCTGTATTCCATTCTAAACTGTTCCAACTGGTGAATAAAACTGCCAAGCTGTATTAAGCAGTGAGAAAAAAAAAAAATTAAACTTTATATCTAGACAAAAAAAAGCATAAAAAATGTAAAAAACACAAATTTTCACCAATTCAGAAGCGATCACGAACAACATGAATCACTTGCAGCTGAACAATTCAAGTATGAAGTAGAGAAGTAAAAACAACTCAAGTCAGACTAGAACAACCCCATCACATCAGATGATTTGTATGGATGTAAATCGGCTGATACACAATCAGGACAAATGTGCCGACAAAAAAATCATTAATAAACAGCGGCCTGGAAACCACGACCTCGGCGGCGCTCTACCGGCACACGCTGAAGGAATGCGCTGCTCGATTCAAAACGTTCTGGCCTCGACTGAAAAACAAAAAAAAAAATGGGTATAAACATCAACTGAAGTATCAAATCAAATAAGTTAAACCGCCAAGCGCAAAACGTAAAAATATGCACAGCATAACTTTTAAGATGCAAGAACTTAAACATCACACAAGCTTAATGAACTTTTTTAAAAAAATTAACTTTTTTAAAAATTTCGCGTCTCAGTGAACCGCAGCCTCGTTGCCTTACACTTCAAGCTCAACTAGTGCTTCAGCCATCTCTTTACGAAGGGTTGCCCTCGAACCTTACAGCTCCTGCTGAATGGAACACTATCGTCAACATCGAAAACTTCTCAAAATACAATCAAAACAACTAACCCGCTGCACGCCAATTCCCAAAGCTTTGCGCATCTGAGCTGCATTCGGATTGACAGGCATATAATCCGATTCACGATCCACTCGAGTAAAGCGTTTACGTGGGCGAACTTCAACAACGCGCTGGACACGCTTGAAAATTGGCTGATTGCGACGAAAACGTGCTTGTCGACGTGGCTGAAAAATGTGGTCATGTGACATCTACAGTCCCACACAGATCAGATGTTCCTCGAAGAAAACAGAATCTAAATGATTACCACATTAACAGGGACGACCTCCGGTTCATCGTACAAAATCACACGTTTTTTACGAATGCCTCCGCGACGAATGATTACGGGACGCTGCTCAACAACACGCGGAACAACATCCTCCACAATAACTTGCTCACGTGGTCGCGCAGCAATTCTACGACTGATCACCTGCTGCTGCTGTTGCTGACGTACCGGGCGAATGCTGCAAGAAAAAAAATATACATCAGTAATCAGGAAAAAAGACGATTCGTTACCGAAGTTTTTAGAAAAAAAGGCCAATAAAAAGGTTAATAAAACGGAAAAGATACTAAAAGACTGAAAAATCTATAAAAGAGTGTTACTTGTCTCGCATGCATTAAATCAGTTAATAAATTTCTCCATTTCCTCCCAACCGTCCACGCAAGTGAGTTCAAAAATTTTTTTAAAAAATCCTTTTCAAACAAATATTCCTTTCACCCACATTCATCCATTCAGTAGCTACTACCGCATCGCTGCGCGAGTTATAATGCCAGTATCTTTTCCAGAAAGCAACGGGGAAATTACCAGCAGAAACGAAGCAAACAAGGAGCCTATACAAAAGACTTACATCTCCGGCTCTTCCATAACAATCGCTCCATCATCGTCACTGACCAGCTGTCCCATACGAGCCACTCCTCGTCCACGCACAATCTGCAATCACGTACTCACACGTTTTCCATATCAACGGCAATATATTTTGTAAAATTCTCGAAAAAATGAGTTGTTTAGAGAGGAATACCTGTGGCGATGCAATGACAATTCGTTGTCTACGAGCACGTCTTGCTGCACCTCCGGCTATAACGCGTGATCGTTGACTGACGCCCGATAAACGACCGGCAAGACGACTTCCCACAGCTTCTGCGCGCCCGCGAGCACGTATTCTTCTTCCCTGAAAATAAAGGCCTTCTCATCTCCCAAACCTTAGCCCCCTTTTCATTGAGGTTCCGTGTTCTACATCACAAATTTTGATGAAAAAAAGAAAACATTTCCCTAAAAAAATTGCATCAGAAATCCCGGGTGTCTTCGCACAAAAAGTGCAGGGCATGCCTCCAAAAAGAAGAACTAGAAATTCCGGTAATGAAGAAAAGAAGTTCACCAGAAACATGCCATACCCTTGTACGTCGTCTGTCATACCTGGGCTGCTATAAATTTCGCGTGCACTGTGCCACGACGAATAGTGCTGGTGATGGATGTGCGAAGGAACAAGTTCAAATCAAACACAAGCGCTAATAATTAGTAAATTCTCTCGTCTCTCATCGATAATTTTTGACAAATTTGGGCTTTTTAGCTAAAGGCTGTGCTGCTGCCGTGAACACACAGAATCCTCCGTAAATCTAGCTGCTCAGCCAGCTTTGCAGCACAATTTCGGCGCCCATCGTGTTCGGCGCCTTTTTGGGGCGCATCAATCGCTGGCATCCGCCAACTGCCGTTCGCGGTTTCAGCGGCCCTCAGCAATACGATGGAGGTGTGTGTGTGTGTGTTTGTTTATATACACAGTGACAGCTTTCGAACTCATTCGAGAGGAAATCCAGACAAAAATGAATTTGCAGCTGAACGTACGACTGCCGGCCGCGATGCGGCACTCCCGCGAACAGCGCGACGGCGCAGTGCCGCCGCGCGATTTATCAGCGTCTGATTGGCACGTCGCTGGATCGCCCGCTGAAACAAGAAGAAGCGATCTATTGTATTCGAATGGCTCAAAAATTACGGGTACGAAAATCTCACGCCAATTTAGTGTAAGCGTTCCCTTTTTTAGCAAGAAATCTCCTCACACAACACACAC